ACTTTTTAGACTATTTTCTAAGCCTACAGTTTTGGTCTATGAAATTGGAAAATGCCATTAGAGAAAGAACAGTGGAGTGGATGATTATCCTATTTGTAGCATATTCCCATCTTCTCATCTGGAAAATTAAATCTGATTACAGCTTGGATTAACATTTATGGTTGTAGAAGAAGATAATATCTTAAACTCCATGAAATTGAACAATAAGATTATATGGTTGATAGTTCATGTTAAAGCCTTGCTTTTTAAAGGGCAAAGCTTTATAATTGCGAAGGTTCAAAGGTATTCAGTGCTATGTCTTTTATTGACAGAAATATTCTAGAGACAATGAATGGATAAATTCAGGAGGCATTTAACTTTTTCTGCCTCAGTCTCTAGCACGTTAAAAGTGAAAGCAGCAGATTCCTGTGTTAGCATCCACCTCAGCAGCTTCTCTTCAGTTCCTTGTGAGAGCTCTGTTTACGGAAGTTAATGACATTTGGTTAGTTGAAATTGTTCCACATTTCATACCAAATGAAGTCAGGGTATTTTTCAGTAATCGATTAGAAAATATGGCATGCCTTACTACTCTTCAAATGGAGTTATCATTGGTATGACAGAGAAGAATGGAAATAATTTGGAATGATCTGTGTGTGAGTGTGTGTTCACATACTAGTTATTGATGTGCAAATGAGACCTCATACGTAACCACAGTACTTTTATGATTTATTTTGTATTTCTGTTGTAAAAGCTCTGTCTACCAGGTTTTCTAGGAACTTTGAGCCCAAGGCAGAAAACAAGGATTTTGGAACTGTATAAAATAATTTATAGCACCTTTCCAGTGAGCCTTGCCCAAACTCTTATTCTATTAATTAAACATCCTGTAGCAATCTGGTATATCTTATTAAAGATTTACTGTATGTATAAGACTAGAAAACACGGGTTATTGAGATTGAAAAAAATTAGTCTTTCTTTATAGAAATTGTTTTTTTAAAATATGGTCATGTTCTCTGTTGGAAGGAGATCGTGCTGCTGAGAGTCCTACACTATGACATGTTTCTTTAAATGTGGAAATGTATCTCATGGCCTTTAGGAGAAGTAGTGTTCATGAGTTGCTAAGGGGTCAGCCTTGTAGATAGATGGTCATGCTGCTAGGAGAAGGTGGTGCCCATCATACTGATGTCATGTGAACCCTGTCATGAGCCAATTGCCTCTTTTAATCCCTTTTGGTGAAAAGATATGTGGGCTCTTTCAAATGTGACATATTATTGATGTTGCATTTTAAATACAGTATTTCCCTGGGAGATGATATAATTTATTTTTAAGTTTGTAAGAAACTGTTGAGGCAGAGGAACGTTGCCGAGAGAAGAGGACCAGGAAAGAGTTGCTCTATTATGTTCTTACTTTTCTGAGAATGAATTTTTGGGGTTAAAGCTAGATATATACTTAAAACTATATTTTTACTGCCACTTGCCTAAGCAGACTGTTAGGTTGCTTTCTTCCATGGTATACCCTGATACACAGATTTTCGTATTGAAAGTTAGCTGTTTGGTGACACTGCATTTGGTGATGAGTGTATAAATGTGAGAAGGTGCTTTGGAACATTAGCAATTAATAGCACTGGAAGGGGGATAAAGAAATAGATACATAAATATTAGACCAATGCATTTTTCCAGTGTATGTTATTTTCCATATAAAGATATAGAACATTTCATAAAATGTTCCCAGACAATTTAAAGCTCAAAGAAATGCAGCTGACGCAATGAAATACATAGAGTACTTGTAAAAACATACAGACACGCAAGTGGATTGCTGCCAGACAGAAAATTTAAAGGCGGTTTGCTTAACTGCAGGGTGCTAGGTTTTGTACATGTGCCATGCAGAAACTGTTAGTAAGGCGGGTGTTGTGTTGCTTGAGAAAAGCAGATTGTCTTTGGACCTTTTTAATTCAGATGTTTCCAATGTCAGTAATTTGGTGACATTACGGCATTCTGGTTAGCTCAATGTGAAAAAAGATTGCAGCTTCTTGTACAAAATAGATGTTTTAAGAAAATTCAAGTGAATTGTTTGCAGTCTCTGCTGATTTTTACAAAATACCTTTCATAATTTTATTGTCAGATTGGATCTTTGAGTGAACTGAATGGAACGTTATAGATTGAACTGTGGTTTTAAAAAGCACTTCCCTTAAAAAAAATTTTTTGTTTTTAAAGTGTTGTTTTAGCAAATGTTAAAAACCCATGAAGTTTGCTTTTTGTAAACCTCTGGAGGCTTAAAGAAAATTAAACAAAGGTTTCTTGCTTGAATTGTAGTAAACAATAATGAGTGTATTGTCTTGGAACATTGTTTTGTTAAAATCTGGGACTCTCACTTTAGGGATGGTCTTGGGCAGTTATGTTGCCCTCCTTTGAAGCAGTGTTTACGATAATGTGATTGGATAGCCTTCATCTTGGTCATCATAGTCCTCTTCACCTGGAGTGTGTTAAGCTGTGATAATTTTTCCATCGCTTTTTCTTCTCTTTTTCCAATGTTATTATGTTGTATATATGAAAAACTTTTTTTAAACCGATGAATTTCTTATTAATGTGGTCTCTTATTAGTAGAGTTTAAAAAAGATTTAAGAACTTTGTCCCATTTGCAAACAAGAAACTTAGTTTGAAAATTGAAGAATATACCCCAAACTTTGATTTCTAGTGTTTATTTGTGTACAAAATGGTGGTAGAAAAAGAAAGTCTTTGTTTTTTATTTCT